ATAGCAAAGGAAGAAATGGAGAAATAAAATAAGGTTAATTGTACACTGTTTTACTCCCTGTTGTTTTCAGGCAGTTTTGCAGAGCTTGGATTCCAAGCTATGGCTACAGATAACACACACAGCATTAGGAGACATAGGCAACTAAAATGAGTGACAGGCCCCTTGTTATTAAACAATGGCATCCTTAAGTAAGCTGGAAAGACTTTTGCCTCTGACAGACAGAGAGGGAATATTATGAAGTTTGTGTCTTTGTGTGGAGAGGGAATTAAGCATCATTAACGATCAAGTTTTCTGCTGATCAGCAAAAGTGTATTTCCCCATTCTGTAAGCTCTTTATCATGGAAGAGTTCTGTCACTGAGACACATTCTTCAAATATATCTTTAGTACAAATTGCTGATATATACCTAGTTTGTAAAAATATGAAGGTAAGCAATTGTATGTGGGACTCAATAACTCAAATGTATTATGACAGTTGTTTCCCAATTTAGTGGTATTTTGTGTATGAACAGCACAGCTCAAAGGCCAAAATCAGGTCAAATTTGATTTTCATTGGTAGAGATATTCAGACTTTCTCGAATGCCTCTTCCTGCTCCAGCTCCCTGTGGCACCAAAAAACAGTTCCAAAAACACCACTCTCCCCCAAATTAGATTTCTAAGTGTGCACAGGGTACATTATGGCAAAAATAACAAGAGCCAGGAGGCTCTGTGCCTGGATCATGATGAAAGTTTTAAATACCTCCCAAAATTAAGAGAAAGTGAATTAATCCTGTGCTAGTTAAGGTTTGTACTCAAACTAGAAATGTTTCAGTAGTACATTTCAAAATCCCTCTGCCAGAATGACTACTGGTCACTGACTACGCTAACCGGGAAATGTAGTCCAAAAAATTAACTTTTCCAATTTTCAGTTGAGGATACACTTACAGTGAATTCTTCCCCAGTAATCATCAGAACTTTGCTTCAGTCTGTCTTAATAGTCTATCCATTTTAGTTCTATTTATTTCAAAGACTCAGGTAGAAATACACCTTAGTGAACAAAACAGATATGTTCCTGGGAATTACTTCTTTAAGAGAAAATTTGGTACTAGAACAAGATAAAACAAAACATGGAAAGAATAGAAATAGATTCCTATACCACAAAAATATTTTTCAGAATATTTTGAAATCCAAAACCAACATTATGCACATGTGAAATGAGCAGCCTTGAATCCCTCAAGGAAAAAGGCAGGGTATAAATAAAATAAAACTTATTATTTTATTGACACAAAAACACAGTATGTCACAGCAAATGAGATCTATATGCTAGATTTCGTATCACAAAATCTTAAATCGAACACTTCCCAAGCGTCTAGGATTGTGTGATGTATTTTCTAATGATACGCACAGATCTAAGTAAGATGGCCTTTTGCAGTTGACAGATGATGATGATGATGATGATGATGATGATGATGATGATGATTATTATTATTATTATTATTATATGGTATTCTGGCAGAAGTTGACCAAAGTCATATTCAAGGACCTAGCTATGCAATAAAGTTTTTATCTCTATGCATTTTCTATCTCCTCCAGCACAATTCTCTGGTATGCCTCTGTCAGAAGTAGCTCATTATCTGTGGTTTCACATTTCTGCAGTAAATCCAGAAGTATACTCTTTGAAGATAGAAGATGATACTGTACATGCTTGACAGGATATGCAACCCTTCTGGTGTACTGAGAATATGTTTATCAGGATGTCTTACACAGTGCCTTAATGTGCAGTTGGACTCATGGAGTTGTGATGTTTGTTGCATAATGGGGCTGATTGTACAACGGACATGCTGCTAACTCTGGTAGTGTAATGGCCCAAGACATGTAGCTACATCTCTTGTCCCCTCCTGAGAATACAAACATTGCCCCATAGAGCAATTCCCCCTGATGTGTTGTAAGTTGTTTTATGATTATGTAAATATCTAACAGGATACCAAGTACACTATTTTGCAGCAAGTGCCAAAAGTTAAGTTTTGATCTCATCAGACCAGAGAACCTATTTTTACATATTTGCTATGCCTCCCACATACATTTTTGCAAACTCCAAAAAACTTTTAAATGAGTTTCTTTTAGCAACGACTATCTTCTCACCACTCTTATATACAGTCCAGCTTTGTGAGGTGATAGCAATTCTGCCAGCAACATGCAGGTTTTCTTGCACCTGCACAGTAATGAGTTCCATGTGCAGCAATACCAAAGAAATCCATTTAAGTTACAGGGTGCAACTCAGCAAAAGATGGAAAAGTAAAAGGAAGTTGACAATATCTCAAGGACTGCATGTTCATCCTTGTATCTTGCTCAACACAAGCACCCCAGTTTTCTATCAGCAGTCAGAGAAAGAAGCCTCCATTATTGTCCCTCTATTCTGTGTTGGTAAGACCTCACCTGGAATAATGTATTCAATTCTGGTCATCACAATTTAAGGAGAGATATTGACAAACTGGAATGTGTCCAGAGGAGAAAACAAAAATAATCTAAGGTCTGGAGATCATGCCTTTGAGAAGCGGCTTAAAGGGCTAACTATGTTTACTTGGCATAAGGGAAGGTTGAGAGAAGGCAAGATAACCATATATAAATATTTGAAAGTATATCATAAGAAAGAGGGAGCAGACTTATTTTCTGCTACCCTGGAGACTAGGGATCGGAGCAATGAGTTCGAATTATAGGAAAGAAGATTCCACCTGAATGTTAGAAAGTACTTCCCGAATGTAAGAGCTGTTCAACAGTGAAACTCACAGCCGCAGAATGCGGTACAGGCTCTTTTTTGGAGGCTTTCAAACAGAGGCCGGATTTCCATCTGTTGGGATGCTCTGATTGTGTTTTTCCTGCATGGCATGGTCAATTCTATAATTCTATTATTCTAATTTCCATTAAATGAGACAAAAAGCAGTAGTATAAATAGTAAGGTTGTGCACGGATTCATTTTCAAAAATGGTTTTCGGCTGGTTACGCGGGCTCTGCCACCATTTTTTTTGGTCGCAACCGAAAACTGGCTGCCGAAGAGTGGTTTCTTTCAGCTTCTTTTGGCTACACGTAGAATGCAGGGAGGGAGACAGCTGCTAGAAGGGAAATGATCCCAGAAAGGGTGGTTATTAAGCCTGTTGCCTTAAACCCAAGTCTTCTTGAAAGATAGAAAGGAAAGGATTCCAGGAAGGAGTTTTTCTTTGTGGCAGTCGTCAAGAAGAAAAAAAAATTAAAACCTAATGAAATTAATGAAATTAAGTCTTACCTTAAAGGTGCGGGGGTAGAATTCTGGTGGAAGGGAAATTGACAGATGGAACAGGACTGGGACAAGGCAGGAGAAACCATATCTTAAGTAAATAAATAGAAGGACGGCTATGTGCTAAATGTGGAAGGTCAGAGAATTGGCTCTAAAAGTAAATCGATAATTATTGATCCAAGAGAAACAAACATCTGAAGATATGGTACAATAGCGCCATCTATCCTCCATCTGATGTAAATAGCAGGTAATTCAGTATTATGAGCAATCATACATAAATAAAGAATATAGGGAAAATAATGTGAAAGTAAATTACAGAAGAATTAATAAGGGAAATGCTTGCTTTGAATAAGTTAAAGATACATATATGAAGATATATGGAGTCATATATGTGTGAAGAGATATATGAAGTTATGATTCATTCTAAAGATTCATTTTTATGTAAGTCATCTGGGAACGTGGCTGGTCAGCTGATGAAAGGGGAACAGTGGAAATTATAATATCTTGCCAACAAATGTTCTTGGCCGCGATTCCTCGAGGACAAACTGATATTGATTAGATTGTGTAAATGTCAAGAGAATTATGCGCATGTGCAAACTAAGTGATTCTGCCTATAAATACTGGATGCTTTTGGGGTAGTGCTGTGTGCCACATCAGCCATGTTGAAGCTGGGGCATCCTTACCCTGGGTAAGCAATAAATTCTGTGAACTTGCAACAGCTGTCTCTGTCTCTTCCTTCTTCGCTGATCTCTTGGAATCCTGGAAAACGGGGACACACCCGTAACACTTAAGCCCTTGCCTTAAACCCAAGTCTCCTAGAAAGGCAGAAGGGCAGAAAGGGTAGAACGATGGAAAGGGGAGCCTCATACATTTCACATTGCTGCCAATAACTGGATTTTCCTGGATCTTTTGGTTGCCAAGCTGAAAACGGCTTTTTCCCATTAGTGGATTTCAGGAGGCTCTGGAAAACAGATCTGGGTACCCACCAAAATTCGGATTGTGGTGCAGCTGAATTGCACAACCTTAATAAATAGTGTAATCATCGTGAATAGAGGTGCATTTTTTCATTTTCCACAGGTGGACTTGCTCTGAACAAATACTGCCCCCACTTCTGCTTGGTAGGGTCACTTTCATATGGAAAATGACAGAATAACCTCCCCATGTGTTTTAACTGCTATCAAATAAAACAGGCATTGAACATTAAAAACCAGATTATTCTTCCTTTGTTCTATCTTTGTATCAGATCACAGCATGCACATTCTTGGAGCTATGCAGCTTGAATGATGCACCATATGCACAGTCATAGTAAAACAAAGCAGTTTTGAGAGGAAAATATGACATCTCTTTTAAATTATGTATGTGAATGCTTGTTGTTTTCACTGCTAGCATGTAGGAAAGGGTGGGGATGGTTGGGTGGGAAGTAGCGCAGATGCATTAATAAATTCTAACTGGAGTTCTCTCTGAGAGATAACAGAATTTTTCTGTGCTCTTGGTTTCTTATAAAGGGAACGAAACTGACTGCCTGTAGCTCTGCCTAGTGGGCCATTCTAATTGACTCTGAAGTCATTAATCAGTTCCCAATCAATCTATGCTACCAAGAGCAGGCAGTTAGATCTCCATTACTACCCATTTATCATGCCATTGCCTAATTCACTGCACCATTAGCCACAGATTAGACTTCAGTTAGGATAACTGTGTCAGCTCTCCCCCCACCCTACACCATTTCCTCTTTTAAAGAGTGCTGACACTCACCTCTGCCACTGGGATTCCTTCAGGTGGGCGACACTGAAGTAGGACTTCCTGTTCCAAAGACACTTCTTTTCCAAGTGGCTCCTGCTCAAATGTCTTCCGTAAGTCTGGAATGAAAAAACAGAATGTATTTTGTGAAGGTGTTTGTGATAACCAGGGCTGGGGTAGAATATCATTTCATCAGAACTTATAAAAAATACTCCAGCCTAATTTATACTTCCAAAACGACCATGTGGACTGGACCACAGTTTTACTTCAGACTGTTATTTTCTGAATTTTGCAGTATTCCTGGCAGCTCAAGAATTACGTGTGAATAAAGGCCTATTAGTCTCCTTTCTATTTGTAAAAATGAAGCTTTAGGGGAAAAGATGAGGTATAAATATGAAAGCAATAAAAAGTAATAGAATATGATAGGGAGAGGTTGCATGCAAAATGTGTATATTAGAGACAGTTCACTGTGGGAAGAATATATTAGAGAAAGCTGAGTACCAAATACACAGGGAAAGCTGTAAATGAAAATAAATATGAATTTGTGTGTTAAAAAATGCAGACTGAGGCAGAAATTGGGCAGAACAAATTTATGAGAGTACATGTGAAATTCATGACTTGGAATGCACTATTCCATTTACTCTTACTTAAAGTACCAGAAATAAAATGTCCACTGTTGTGACAGATGTGGTACAAAAGCAGAAATGACGTGGGGTCTTTGTCCTTGGCATATAACATCTCTTATTTTCCAAATGGGTTACTAAAGGGGAAAGGGAAGTATTACTCCTTGCTGTAAATTTCTAGGCAATGAAAGCTGGACTATCAAAGGCAGGGTTTTGCCGTCACTGCTATAGTCAGATCATCCCTCACAGGGATCTTTGCCAGGTATCTTTTATGAGAGAGAGTAAAGACTAAGGGGAACATAAAATACTGTGACTGCCTAGACTCAACTTGGGTTCTATTTCTGGTCACTAAAGTAACAGAATCTTGACAACTCAATTTTTGTAGATATAAATTAACCTGAAATGCAGAGAACTTGTTGCAATGTACAATTCCTTATTTCCCAGGTGACAGCCAGTATAGTATAGTGGTTTGAGCACAGGACTTATGACTCTGGAAACCAGGGTTCAAATCTCTACTCATCCATGTAATCTCACTGGGTGACCTTGGGCAAATCATACTTTCAGAGGTTTATATGATGACAAATCAAATATTGGAATACTTGTCCCTCTAATTTGTTTTTGAAATGTAATTGGAAACAATTTCTTAGCCAGATAAGAAGTCACTGGAGAGTGCTTCCCAGATCAGCTGCTGAAATGGCGCAATGCCATTTTGCTTTATTGGCTTGATTCCATAATGCACTGAATGAGGTTGCTGGGTACACAGCACTATTAACAAATAGATGACCTAATGCCTTAGTATAATTAAATTACTTTTATCAACTGCGTTCAGTGAGAAACCACAGGAAAGCCGAAGCAGTGTAGAATCTACTTAGGTTCTTTATAAAATACTGTTTTAAAAAGGAAATTAAACTGCAGACACATAAATTGCAAGATTTATATCAACTTAAGAAGTGCAATCTAATAGAGGCCAGAGATAATATGGTCCTTCTGAAGTTCTCTCTCTCTTTTTTTACTCTTTTAAACCTATCACCAACTACAGTTATGCCTCCATATTTGTGAGTTAAGCAGTCACAGATTTGATTATTTATAGATTATTGTAATTACCTCCACTTCCATTGTTGTCTTATATGCTCCTGAGACATGTGCTTTGTCTAGGCATTTCTAGGTCCTCTGGTGCATTTCCACCAGAATTTGTCCATAGAATCATGCTGGAGTACCTAAAAGACTTATTGAAGTGTGTTCTTGCATAAATATATATTAGCAAGCATATATTTGTATTTTTTCTCCTATCACAGAGATCTTGTACTCCTAACCTCTATGAATATTGAGGACTGCCTCTACAATCCTGCAGTTCTTAGTATCAATATTACTAGTTGAATGTAATGGTTCACTTTTAATTTTACTTTGTTTTACTTAACTCTACTTATAAAATCTATTTCCATTTTTTTATCTGTTAGGCCAACATGGCTCCTGAACATTTCTTCAAAGCAGACCTTGGTCTTTGCCTTGGCCTCACTCTCCTCTGCTGGCATTTTCTTATCTTTCAAATGTAATTCAACATACTGCACATGTATTCATCCAGATTCTTCATTCTGCACAAAGAGCACTGAGCGCATGCTAGGGACCTCCTATTTCCATATTTGACATACACAAAAATGGTTTTGACTAGCATTATAACCTGAGCGATTTTCAGCAAATTAGAAGGTGGATTCACTAAATGTAATGACTGCTTTTCTATGGGTCTCAAATTGGAGAATGATTGTATTCAAAGACACTTCTGGAAGGCTGGCACAACCGTGAGACAAGATAGGCAGCTGTATCACAGGGCTGTGTTTTCAGAAAGCATGCAAAATAGTATTGTTCCCCCCATTATAAACATTCTGTCCCCCATTAAGCTGTCCTCAAATTTCTAGGATTGCACTGCAAATCTCTCATACCCAGAACACTTATATTTACTGCATTAATATTCTCTTGCAAACTTTGTTTGCTCCTTTTCTTCAAATGCCAAAATTGTATTTCTAAATGCTCAAGTGAAGTTTATGTTACTGTAATGCTAGAAATTTGAGAAGGAAGATTTCATGGTAGTGGAGGGGAGAATTCTTATTGTGCCTCAACACCTTAATCTCCCTAAAGCTATACTGCTGAATTAAGAGATTGCTTCTAAAAACTGAGGAGTAGCAGTGCTGACCTCCCACCCTTCACATCTGCAGATTCTATCCACTTCATAACACAAGGACATTTTTAGGACACTTCCTTCTCGGAGCCTCACACCACCCATCACACGTCATGTGACTTCTGGCAGAGGCACCGCACCAACTGAGGTGGAAGCATCCTTGGACACTTCCCCCCAAGTGATGAGGGGAAGCATTGCTGCACTGGAGTTGCCCCCTTGCACCAACCATTTGCTACACTTGTTGGCAAAACAGTACCCAGAGGGTGGGGTCCCTCATATGATAAGGCCAATATGCATTCACCCTCTTGCTTACTTGTTTGAGACCTGGGGGATATCTGTCTGTTTTACTAAGTTGCTTTTCCCTCAGGCACAGCACAGATAATATTTGTTAGGATAGAACTTGACTAAGGTTGCTATATTCCACTACCTGCTATCCTGGCATATGATTTGATTGTTTTTAATTCAGAAAATTAGCTTTGAATTCTAATAATGCAAATAATGTAATTTTTAATTTAATTTTTCCTTCAGGTTTCAACCACTACGCTTTTACTTTCTTTCTTTCTTTCTTTCTTTTTTTTTTTGTTGCAATTACTGTGCAGGTAATCCCCAACTTACAAACAAGATAGGTTCTGTTGATTTGTTCTTAAGTTGCATGAATGGTAAGTTGGAACAGGTAAAATTTAAAGTGTAACTCCTATCTGTCTGTATGTCTGTCTGTCTATTTATCTATCTCTGGTGTTTGTTTTTTGTCTGTCACCCTATTCAGAAGATTTCACCTCACTTTCTGTCCCTTTCTACGCTGCCAGTCACACCTCTTATTCTTCCTTCCTCCACATACCTTGGAAACCCGCACAGTGCATCCCATTATCCTTCCCTTGTTTTTTTTGCATTCTGCTGCTCAAGTGTTTCACTCTTTCCTTTTGCTCCCTCACCTAACCTTTATTCTCCTTGCAACTCACTCTTTCCTTGCTTCTTGAGTCTCTTGCTTGCTCACACTGGTGGAGTTTCTTCCTCCAACTCCTTCTCCTACCTCATCTCATGCCCTCACAATGCATCCCTCCCTTTCTTCTGGCACTCTAGATGAAAATTCAAAGCAACCCTAGTTTTGACTGAACAAGTAGAGTAGCAACACCTTCAGGTTAATTGCACGAGCTCTCTCTCTCTCTCTGTATATATATATATATATATATATATATATATATATATATATATATATGCATGTATTAATCTACTCCTATACGGTGATGCTACATTGCAGCATTTGTGAGCAGGTACAAGGAAGAGCAATGAGCAAAATGCTCGATGACAGACCTGTATATGGCACACAGCTCACCCTGAACTCTGTAAATTAACTTGATGCCCTTGAGTGGGGTATAAATTACTATGAAGTAAATTTAAGTGGCAGTCCAATTAGTAAAAAAGTAAAAAAAAAGAATTTTACTATGAAGTAAAATTTAAGTGGCAGTCCAATTGATTGCTATACTGGAAGAGTAGTGATGGTGGTCATTACCATGTAGCAAGATATACCATGAGTCAGAGCTGCATTGCCTCTGTATAATCTACAGTTTTATAAAAGCAAATATTACTACAGCAGACTCTTCTATTAAACTGATGTAGCAAGTTACCCAATATGGCAAAAATAGTGTCGAGATAATAAACCACAAGTATTCAAGGTTACTGCAGTAAACGGAGCAATAGTGTATGAAGAGCAGATAATAATGCAAGCTTGTTCCTTGGAGCTTGGTTTTACTTTTCCCTATCTACCTGCTGAAGCATTAATTTAGACCTGATGTTAATACACCAACCTTTTAAATCATGATGCTCTGGGCTCATAACACATTTTGTTTATGAAAGCACAATTCTGCTGGCAGCTTCATTAACTTGTAAGGCTGATAATTTGTTTTTGTTGCTTCCCAACAATCTAAATCCTGTTCATTATAAAGAAAGGGGGGGGGGGAGGCAACTGCAGATGGACACAGATAAAATCCTTTTCCCACCGATATTTCAGAGGAATTTAATAATTCCAAATCTTCTCCACCCTCCTTACATTACAGCAACCTGCTGCAACCCTCAAAAAAATGCCATTACATTCAACTGAGTCAATGATCTACAAACTAAAACTACCCTTCACTACAAACCCTGACATAATAGTCTGTAATTTCTTAAAATAGCCATTAGAGTCTATCAAGTAAATAATGCCCTTTAAGAAAAAGGAGGAAAAAATCTGTGTGCTTACAAAGCAATGGATGTCCTAGACACCACTTACTTCCTTATGTGTTCTGACAGCTAGACTCCACCAAGATATTTCTGAACCAGGAACATG